ACCGAACCAAGCCGCGGTCGACGCACGGCCAAACGTCAGCAATCGGCCAGCAGGGTCGATAGTACGACGGCTGTCCCCCGAGGAGGTTAAACGCCGTCGTGAGAAGGGTCTATGTTTCAAGTGTGAAGAGAAGTTTACACCAGGACATCAATGTAAGCAAGCGTTTGTGATCGAAGTTGCTAACCCTGATGAGGAAGGATCTGAGAACGAGAAAGAACCACCTCTGGATATCATAGTTGAAGGGCCTGACGAAGAAGCCGAAATCTCAATGCACGCAATGGCCGGGATACGAGGGCCTCGAACGATGCGATTGCCAGCCTGGGTCAAGGATCGGAAGGTGGTAGTGCTAGTAGACAACGGGTCATCCCACAACTTCATCAATGCCGAGTTGTCCCAAAAGCTAAATTTACCACCCACGAATATTGAACCTTTTGAGGTACGGGTAGCCAACGGTGAGAGACTGCAATGTTCTAAATCCTTCCGGAGGGTGCCAATCAGGTTCAGCGGAGTTACGGTAAAGGCTGATCTCTATGCCTTACCTCTGGTTGGGCCGGATGTCGTCCTAGGTGTACAATGGCTTGAAGGGTTAGGCAAGGTGACCACGGACTATCGAGCAGGAATTATGGAGTTCAACTCGGGAGGTCAGCAAGTCACACTATGCGCGGGCAATGAAAAAGGTGCCAAAGAAGTAGGGCTTAAGAGTATTGAGAAGGTTTGGCGGGGTGGAGGCCAAATCTTTGCCGTAGTAGTGGAGAAGACTGAAGCGCACATAGGTCAAGAGGAGCAACAGTGGGGAGATGTGCACGAGCTTCTCCAGGAATTTAAGGGAGTACTGGGCGAACCTAAGGGGTTACCCTCACACCGGGAGTTCGATCATCGCATATCACTGATCAACGAACAACATGCCGTACACGTTCACCCCTATAGGTATGCTCACTTTCAGAAAACCGAGATCGAACGGCAAGTAGCCGAGATGCTTGCATCAGGACTAATACAACATAGCAAGAGTCCGTTTTCTTCTCCAGTCCTGTTGACCAAAAAGAAAGACGGCACGTGGAGATTCTGTACTGACTACCGGGCTCTGAACGCTGCGACCATCAAGGACCGATTTCCTATCCCGAGCGTTGACGATATGCTTGATGAGCTAGCCGGGTCACGTTATTTCTCTAAGCTCGATCTGAGAGCTGGTTACCATCAGATTCGATCCACAAGGCCGACATTCCAAAGACAGCTTTTCGTACGCACCAGGGGCACTATGAGTATCTTGTTATGCCATTCGGATTATGCAACGCCCCATCCACTTTCCAGTTCGCCATGAATTCTATCTTCAAGGAGTATCTGCGTAAGTTCGTTCTGGTATTCTTTGATGATATCCTGATCTATTCAAAGTCTTGAGGCGATCATCTTGGGCATCTGAGAGTAGTGCTCGAAATTCTGGAAGCCAACTCGTTCCAGATAAAGCCATCCAAATGTTCTTTTGGGCAGATGATGGTTGAATATTTGGGGCACTTCATATCACACGAGGGCGTGAAGGTCGACCCACGAAAGATTGAGGATATGGTCGATTGGCCTAAGCCAACAAGTCTCACGCAGTTGAGAGGATTCCTAGGACTTACGGGCTACTACCGAAAGTTTGTGAAGGATTATGGAACCATCGCCAAGCTATTAACAGAGATGACTAAGAAAGGCGGGTTCACATGGACCGAAGCTAGCGAGGA